ACATTGTCAGTTTCCCGATGGTATCACTTTTGAAGCCATCCACGTGCGATAAGAAGGTGAAATTTGAACGTGAAAAAGTTTCTCGATAATCGAAGATTCACTTTAAAAATACTGAGGAATCTGGCATTCTGATTGGTCAGTTTTCCTGCATTCTCAAGCCACTTTTCCGACTCCAAACTGAGTTGTAAGAAATGGCACTTATTACATACATCTCTCGATTTTGTTTCACATAATGACTAAAATCTGAAACAGATATACTTGAAGCGTCAGTGTAAAGGATGAATCAAATCCAAAATTATTCAAGAAGACGAGGTTATATATAAAAACGATGAAATAAAACTAAAAACCTGTCTGGTTTTATGTAATTCTCGCCTCTAGAATGTCTGAAGGGTACCTAAACCCCAAAGTATTTTGCTCAAAATAAGTGAAACTAAAAATATTATTATTAACTTAGAACCCACGGGAGTAATTGTATAGTTTCTAACACCCCAGTCACATTTGTCGTACGGAGGCCGTGCATCGACCGCAGATCAATTAAATCAGTGTATTTCTTCGGCGAGCGTAGGAAAACTACGCTCGCCTTGCGGCCTCCGTACGGCGTATCCAGTTTTTTACAGGCCGCAGGGTCGCCGTAGAAATTATAACTCGGAGTTATAATATTTGTTCATTTCTGAGGTCCCCGTAGAAATCAACTGGCTCAACAAGATTGAATCATTATTTGTCAATGATTCACGATCACTTTTCATTTGATATTACATCCTAGCACTATGAATAACATTTATAAATTGTCCCGATGTAAATAAAATGAAAAAAGTATTATTTATCAACAGAAATTTAAAATTCACCGTGCGGCTGCCGTGGGAAATGTGACTGCAAAAGTATGAGAGCGCAGAGCGTAGAAATGTTACTGGCCGCAGAAATGATAGACCGCAAGGTCGCCGTAGGAAATGTGACTGGGGTGTAAATAGCTGAATAACGCTGACATAATAAATGTCACTTTTGTTTGTCTTTGACTTTACTTGGACCAGACCTCCATTCACTTCAATGCTAGAAACGTGCAATAGTCAATTGATTTCATGATTTATCAAAAAGTGTTGGTTGAATCTGTCTGAAACTCGAATGACATACTATAGGATGGCCCTGTCAATATTGTCAATACAAGATGGTTGTCATACAAATTAGCCAAGTTTTGAATGAATTTTAGCACTGCACCAATGGAGATTTGGTTTTTTCAAATGTCATAGAAAATGATTTAAATGACATAACTGTGTAAATCAAAGCTATTATTGGAGAAAACGTGTCACTAAATTCAATTATGCTATCAAAATTAGAGATAAAAAGTGCAAATCTCTTAAAATCGCGACATGAAAAAACGAGAGTTAGCAAGATTTCAAAGCTATCTAGAAACTCTAGATCTTCTATTGCACGCAGTAGAATTTAAATGCACGCAAGTAAATTGTTATTTTATATATGTTCTTCTGATGCCATCTCTATATTTAACATTGCCGAAATTATGTACAAGGGAGGTAGTGTATATTGTTGCAAATCACAATTTCAGGTAAAATGGGTGGTAATCAGCCCTTGTGCCCTGGAGTATAAATAAACGATATCGAGGACAAAATATTTCATATTATTAAATTTAAACCCCTTATTTATGTAAAATACTTTAACATTGTACTTACTGCAATATGATACTGCAATTGAGCCCATCGTCTCCACTGGTAGGGTAAAACAGGTTAATTGTATTAAATAAACACAAAACTAAATAGAGGATTCTTTATTTTTATAATCATTCAAACACTGTTTATTACTCGTGCATTTAATCATCTTAGCGTTTGCATATTCTGTGGCAATATTATCTGTAAATCCAGATCCCCTAAACGTATACGTATTGCTTGCTATACTCATGAAGGAACAAATAATTTACCCAACGAAATATACATATTGTATCGCCTTTTATAATGTTCATGGACGACGTTAAAATCAGATAAACTAAGGAAATGGTACGTTAACTCATTTAATGTTTGATTTGTTTAATACATGTAATAAGGCATAACGTAGGCCTACTTAGCTACCGCAGCGTCCATCGTACAAACACGAAAACGGACGCTCTTTATCAATGATCAGTTCGCATTTCTACATCCAAAAGTATTTTATTTTTATTTTCAGTTTATGCATAATGTGTAATGTCATTTCTATATATTCACATGGATTATATTTATAAATACATGTTTTACATTCTTACAGTTAATTTCATGTTTCAAAAACGTTAATACGCTACAATTTCAAGACAACAGTAAGCGTTCTAAAATGCTGAAAATCATATGCGTTCAAAGTATAATAAGAAATACGCTCATTTACAAATAAGTGACTTTGGTATATTTGCGACGAATTACTTACAAATCAACGTTTATAGGGACAACATTTTGGGCCAATATTAACGAAATCCTTGAATGCCAAGCTTGTTAATAAGCATTAATTTTTCGATATTGTAAGATGCCCAGCGTTCGTAAAATATAACTACATTGTATACTGTATATGAGGAATAGATCAGGTCGAATTATTTTTAATGAACAAAACAAACATTACGTTTCATTCATATCCATGCATATTTTATTTCCAATACACGAATTTCAAGTATTTACTTCATTTGTACACTAAATTACGTTGACAGATACAATCTAACAGACATCAGCGTTGCAAAAATACAAAAATTACGTGCGTTCATAGCATAAAATAAGTTACCTCAGTTAGTTTGCAACACAATTTGTTTAATTACTTGACCAGTAACGTGTTATTCACCATTTATGGGGACATTATTGAATCTACTATATTCGGGCCGATATTCCATTAAACCTTGCCAACTTGGTTAAAACGCATTTACTATACGATGTTGTAAGATACCCAGCGTCTGTTAAATTAACTTAAATCAAACTGAGTCCGGGTCGATTTATTAAGACCGATCTAAACAAACATAAATAAATAAGAATAGATTATTCATTCTCAGTTGATGACATGTTTCCCTGTGTATATAAACGCGTTATTTTGGGCCGATTTTGGGCCGATCTTGGCACTTTAGCGACATACATTTTCCCATCGGCCGAATCGGCCCAATGGCACTCAAAGGGTTAAAACTGGTTATACCATGTATAGTAAAGATTATTATACCCACATGTATTCCAAAAATGACCTCATTTGCATTATAGACACCGGTTGACAGACATTATAATAAATTTTAACTTAAGATGAACCAAATTAAAAATCATTATCCACTCGTATATTATACTCGTATGACATGTTTTCAACAAAATCAATATTTATTTTTGAAAAACGAGTGTCCCATTTTTTGGACCACCCTGTACTAGGTTCTCTGTTTCAGCAAATCTAAACAGAATTATTGACAAAAAGAAGCTTTAATTGATGATTTGCGATCACCAGATAGATCCTATCTTGTCGTGACGTCACACTTAAGCCACACTGCTATAGTTGTTTGATTTTGAGAGATTATCTTCTTTATTTCATACTACAGTACATGTATATTGATTTATTTTTCCCGAAAGTATTTGATTTGACTAGATCAACATTCATTCTAAGCACGTGCCAAGTTTAAGATCTTACTGACATGATTTAGATAGCGGTTAAGCCGCGCCCCATTTTTGAAAAAAAAACAGGGGTGCTTATAGGCATCGATATTTAGTATGAATTTTGTCAAAACTTCACACATTTAAGGATATACCCATGATCCAGTCAAATTGACATACCTGGGAAAAATCCGACCTATAGTTTGAATAAAAGAAGAGATAATCTTTTCAGGTTAAAACTGCTGCGTGTCCACAATTTCATCTTTCCATCATATTTAATGATATTCTGATATTATGTCATACCAATAGACGAAACACATGACAACAGTATCCATAAACAAAATACTTGAATTCTGATCGCAAAAGGTCATTTATTAAGTAACAATTAAATTAAATTTATATTGCCGTTGTGGAACTTGCATATTTATATTTCATACACGATATTGTTTCAAATAAATGTGTTCACTTTATTTTAATAGAAAATTCGAATTATTGAATGATCAGGGTAACCTAACCTAAATGATGAATGATGATTTATCATTTTTAGATCAAAAAGCGACATAACACTACATTAACTTTTGTTTACATTATCAGTATATTGTTGGTACAAATTGTAATGAAATTGTTATTTTATCTGTGACAGTATATTGATTAACGATTTGCCAATCTTTGGGAAGCAAGCAAGTTTTCTTTAAAATACCAAGAAAATTGTATAATTTATTTGTGACTCGGATGCTTTCCTTATAGCAAAAAAAAAACCAACTGTCATATTTAATTTAATATTTAATAACGCAGATGCGAGTAGGTAGTTACCAGATTCACCACCAGGTGGCTCGTTCGGGTCATATAGCATGGCGGGTATAGTAGAAAGTTCCCTTTAACTTAAATTACATCTATTTGCGTGGTTCAATTTTCACATAACCCTTGTGTATCTAATAGTTGTGTAAATTGAAGTACGTCCAGTAAAAGAAAATGTTATCTGTCCAATACAAGAAAAGATGATTCATTTTTTTGTGGTTTTGTAACATGGGGTGTATGGGGAATCAACCCGAACAAGAAGTCACATTTTCAAAAAAATTAAATTTTCAAAGTTGATAAACAATTTTTGAAACCATATTTCTAGATGTACTTTTACATGCAGATTTAAAATATGACATCACTTTGACTGAATTTTGAACATTTAATGACATAAATCAAGATTATTTCTACTCGCATCTAGTCTATTCTGTTTGAAGTCCAAAACCAGTCGGAATTTGAAGCAGATTTGTAAAGTATTTGAAATTTTATTAGATCCACATTTGCACAAAAATTTACACGAAGTGAAGAGCAGAACACTTGCGCCATCTTTATGAGTCCATCGAACATACATGCTTAACTTGGTAACACAAGTGATCCAAAATGATATATATATATTTTCAGGTTTCCCGATGCTGTAAGATCTGGCCTTCTTGAAGTAATATCTCCCCCTAAAATTTTTTACCCATCATTTAAAAATCTCAAGGAAACGTTTGGTGACCCTATAGATAGAGTCAAGTAAGTTTAGTTCATTAAACATTTATTTCATGAATATTATGTATACGTTAATAAATAACATGTAATATACTACTGGAAACACATTTGAGTTATTTGATCTTATTTCACAATCAAGGTTGTACATATCTGATATATCTGTATTAGTTATTGTAAGAGAACTCACAAAAGCAAAATAACTTTTAAATATTTCATTTCATCTATTGAACTGATATTTTACTTAAGTTCTTCATATATTTTGATTCAGGTGGCGAACAAAACAAAACTTAGATTATTCTTTTCTGATGCTATATGCTAAAAGTAAAGCTACATATTATGTACAGGTAAGTGTTATTTTCAAAGTAAAGCTACCTATTATGTACAGGTAGATGTTATTTATAGGATGTTCTTATTATCCTACACTTACAAGGAGTGTACTAAATGTATAATATCATTGCAAAATGAATTCCATGCCAAATAGAGTCAACTTGGCGGGAAATCAACAAGCGGAGTATATCGTCACAATATCCTTCGCATATTGGGTTTTCCAGAGTATATCGTCACGATATCCTCTGGATATTCATTTTGCCAATAAATATCAAATTTATTTTTTAATGTTATTATACATTTAGTACACTAAGTGTAGGATAATTAAAAATATTATACAATTAAAGTGAGAATCAAACATTGAGACGGAGAGAGCCAGCTTTTTCAGTGATCTCCAAAGCATTCGATTAATTGAGAACTGCATTCTTGTTAAATATTTGAAAAGTACATGCCACCCATCCTGTTGAAAATCTGTAAGACATTGAGATATTTTGACTGGATATTTTGCACCCTGTTGACCAAATATACTGTTGATATATTTATCCCATCAAACAACATTTTGGGGCATATAAAGAATGGCCCAGTCCGTCCATATGTATGTACGTCTGTCCGGGCAAATATCATTAGACCAATTTTATACATATATGCCCTATTGGAGTTTTTCATTTTTCAAAATGGTCATCAGTTTCAAAATGGCCACCATTTTAGTGTCAATTTTACAGTATTTTAGGTACAACATATAAAACTGTAATATTAATATATTTTAGATGCCAAAAATTATATTGGATATTGACTGAGTTGAAAATCTAAATATTTAAAAAAAAACATGGTGGCCATCTTGAGGGGGGGGGCTGTTTCACAACTATTTTATGTTTTATTGCTGTGACTGGAAAAGAAGTAGAGCGATTTTGTTAATATTTTATATGCAAATACTGTGCATTGCACACTGTCTTGTAACATTTTGTCTATAAAGCAGCCATTTTGAAAAATGGCCGCCATTTTTAACTGTGTTAACTCAACAAGAAGTAGAGCAATTTTGGTTATATTTGATATGTGAAAACTCATAAGCATGGCACACTGTCTTATAACACTTTGGCTTGTAGGTGGCCATTTTGAAAAATGGTCACCAAAGGAACTAAAATGCTTTATCCTCTAATCAAGCATGTTTTAATGTTCTTCTATATTTCTTATTCTTATATTACAGCTTGAAGATGATGTCGTCACTAAGCCAGGCTATTTTACAACTATGAAAAACTTTGCTTTAAATCAAAAAACAGACGAATGGCTAATACTAGAATACTCTAACTTAGGATTTATAGGTATGTGACACTTGTGTTTTAAACACCCTAAATTGTAATTTGCAATTTGCACATCAATTTCAATACAAATTTTCTTTTACGAAGCTCAAATTGTGTATAATTCTGACAGGTGATTATTCTGTTGATTTTCTCATTACATTGGCAATACAGTGCCCATAAGTTGTTCTCAAGATATATCTATTCTAAGGTATGAAAGATACAAGGGGCGATCCATATATTCTGATAAAAATGCTCTCATTTTTTGATTTTCGAATAAGCAGTGGGACATCATTGATTGTCTGGGGACAAACCTAAGACACACTGCATCTTTAAGATATACTTAAGCTCCCAACTACTTCATAGAACACACATTTTGCAGAAAAGTAGTAACAAAAGGTTGTATTTACTTTCTGAGGTGAAAATGATTTATTCCAAATTAGCTCCACCAAGCAAATTTGAATGAGCTTAAGGGATATGTGTCTGACATTATTCTTAAATAATCGAAACATTTTTTTGTGTCGGAGATTCTGAAAAAGGGATTTCTGAAGATATGCAATGTTAGAAAATACAAATATACCTGTACTTACGTTAATCAGCATAAATATCTTGTCATTCATTTATATGTAGCCATCTTATTTTCCTTTTTTCAGGAAAATTATTCAAATCAAGTGACCTCTCCATGGTGGTTGAGTTTTTCCTGATGTTTTACAAGGACAAACCAATTGATTGGTTACTGGACCACATGCTCTGGGTTAAAGCGTGTAGCCCTGAACGAGATGCTGTAAGTGGCATACGTGTACTGTAGATTGGGTTAATTTGGCGATTTTGCCAGTTTTTCATATATTTTCATATTTTTGGAAAAAACTAAACCGGAAGTGACCTAAATACACTGGATGAAATACCCTAGATAATTCCCGGAATTCATTCTAAATTTTGGCGAAGATTTAAATTTTCAATTTCGCCAAATTCGCCAAATTAAAGCGGGCGCCAAATTAGCCCAATCTACAGTCATATGGCATTATATGTACAGCATAAAAAGATTTACATGTAGTTTAATATATACATTTAGATCAGTAGGATACTCTCTAATACAGGTTCCCCTAGTTTACATACACAAGATACATTGTGATATACATTATATGAAACATCTTTGAAACATATAGAACCAATTTAATTTACCATATATAGTCATGGCTATATATAGGCAGGATACGTATTTACTTTTTGTGTGTTAAAAACAATTCAAAGGTCTGCCGAAGACCCTTCACTTGAGGGTTAGGAATCTGACATGTAGTAATAGGGTACCTGAATATTGGGATGAAATTTAATTCTCTAATAATCGACTATTATACAAGCCTTCTATGCCTTATAGTTGGTGCATTAAATTGATTTGTTATTTTCAGAAACATTGTGCACGAATGAAGAGTGAAATCAAACGAACATACAAGCCATCATTATATCAACATATAGGTCTACATTCATCATTAAAAGGAAAAGTACAAAAATTAAAAGTAAATATATCTTTTTTCACCTATATATACTTGCATGAAAGCCTTGGATGTATTTGCTAATGCTTTTATAGATGTATTTGCATAATGAGCTTTTTCGATATTTGAGATATCTGTTACATGATCAATATCTTTAATGTTATTGTACCACTCCATCCCTTACATTAGCCATTTTCTTTCAATGTTTGCTTAAAGGCAGAATCAGATCTACATATGTATAGATTTGATATCACATTTAACATGAATTGTACATTGACGATGCATGTTATGAATCCTGATGATTGGATTTATTAGTTTGAAAATTAGATGCAGGTTAAAGTAGAAGATAGAGTGAAAAAGATAATTTGGCATGTGTAGAGTGTACTTTCAAGGAAATGCCTGAAATTGATTTTGATTATAATTTTGTATTATAATGATTCTGGGGACCAAGGCAATATATTGATAAAATACATGCACAAATGTAATCAATAGCATTTCAAATTGATCCAACCAACCAGGATTTCAAAAATCAATTCTTTTTGAAAATTGATTTTTTGGTAATAAAAGGTAACAGACTTTTAAACTCTTCAATTAATTGAAATAGATTATGCTTGCGGGTGTTCATTTATTACGTCACCACCACCAGAAGTGCTGACATTTTGTTATAGTCTCTAACATTTTTGTGGAAGGTGTTTGGCATTCAGATTGTTCTGTTTCTGTAACAAATGGCATGTTGTGACATTTTGCATGTTATTGCCTTGTATATTGATTGTCCCTGATAAGAAACTGTTTTCTTTATATGTAGAAAGAGGATGTTGGAAACTACAGTATATGGGAACATTGATGCAATCCTTAAATTACATATTATGAACACTTGGTTCTGAAAATACCTCCATTTTTATGTCCCCACCACATAGTGTGGGGCCATATTGTCGGCCTAGGCGCGTCCGTCTGTCCGTCCGTCTGTCTGTCCGTCTGTCTGTCCGTCCGTACGTCCGGCAGTTTTCTCCAAAACCGCTACAGATATCACCTTCAAATTTTCAGGGATAACTTATGAGTGCATACAGATGTGGATGAAAAAAAATTAACTCGATACCTACTTCCTGTCGGCCATTTTGAAGTCAAATGCTAAAATCCTTGTCTGCAAACTTTAAGAAAAACGGCATCACCGTTGCTTTTAAAACTTTAACATCTTGTTCAGCTCACTTCATTCTAGATCTGATTAGGTTTTGGACCTGTTAGCTCAGTCATGTCAGCCATTTTGAATGTTTTAAGAAAAGTTAGCGCACGATAATACTTTGTATCATATTGAATGGTGTTTTTCAGTTTTCATACTTTAACTTTTTAGTAGCTTTATAAATAATTTCAGGTGTACTTTGTTGTAAAAGCCTATGTTATTGTTAACAGTAGTTATATGTGATAATTTTGTAAAAAGATTTCAGCAAAAACTCATAATCACTTTTTTATTGTCGGCCATTTTGGATTTTTCCGTCCTAAAATCTTGTCTGTAAAGTCTTGTCTACACGTTTTCAGATGAACCGTTTGGTAGATCAATTTCAAATTTTCAGGGATGATTCTTAGTATGAGAATCTAGATCTGATTAGTTTTTGGGCATTCTGGGTAAATGTCAAGGCAGCCATTTTGGATTTTCCGTCCTAAAATCTTGTATGTAAAGTCTTGTCTACGCATTTTCAGGTGAACCGTTTGGTAGATCAATTTCAAATTTTCAGGGATGTTTCTCAGTATGAAAATCTAGATCTGATTAGTTTTTTGGCATTCTGGATAAATGTCAAGGCAGCCATTTTGGATTTTCCGTCTTAAAATCTTGCCCGTAAAGTCTTGTCTACGCGTTTTTAGGTGAACCGTTTGGTAGATCAATTTCAAATTTTCAGGGATGATTCTTAGTATGAAAATCTAGAACTTATTAGTTTTTGGGCATTCTGGGTAAATGTCAAGGCAGCCATTTTGGATTTTCTGTCCTAAAATCTCGTCTGTTAAGTCTTGTCTACACATTTCCAGGTGAACTGTTTGGTAGATCAATTTCAAATTTTCAGGGATGATTCTTAGTATTAAAATCTACAACAGATTAGTTTTTGGCATTCTGGATAAATGTCAAGGCAGCCATTTTGGATTTTCTGTCCTCAAATCTTGTCTGTAAAGTCTTGTTTACATGTTTTCTGGTTAACTGTGTGACGGATCAATTTCAAATTTTCAGGGGTGGTTCTTAGTATGAAAATCTAGAACTGACTAACTTTTTTGGCATTCTTGGTAAATTTTAAGGTGGCCATTTTGGATTCTCCGTCCTCAAATTATGTCGGTAAAGTCTTGCCTACTCATTTTTAGGATAACCATTTGACGGGATCACCCATAGGTGGGGACATATTGTACACATTTGTGTTCTTGTTAGAGAGTTCTCTTCAGTTGCCAAAAGGGTCTTTACATATCAGTCACAAATGGAGACTCGTAATATTATAAAGGGACCCTTTTCAGGCCTTTATATTTTCCTTTTTCTAAAAATTCTCCAATTTTTTAAAATATTAGGCCCAGTCAGATATTTATTAATTTTTGGCTTTCAATGATTCGTTTGTAAATGTTTTGTTTCTTATTGATAATTATGTGATAATTGTTGCTTATTGTTTTCACATTGCCATTAGAAACAAGTGTTCACTTAGACAGGTGAAATTTCATGCATTGTACATTTTCACTTTTTAGATATTTCACATTAATTAATACCACGATTTATTCCAGTTATTTGATATTGCATGCACGAAATGACAATTAGCTTCAGCTGCTATTGAACAGATGTCTTGCTATTGGCCATCCTATTTTATAAAAAATATTTGACCACTTTTTGTTTGAGTTTCCTTTTTTATTCTGCCAATATTTATAAAAAAAAGTTTGGTTTCAGATTTTTTAATTTAGTGTCAATATTATGATAAGGTCTTTTCATTGTTTACCATATTGAAGAGTTTGATTTCAGAGAGAAAAATCATTAGATGTAGCCTCTAAAGATCTCCATACTATGCATCCTCCGATCACAGGGTTTCAAAATCCAGAACATATTCTTTTTTTTTACCCCCTGCGATAAGCAGTTAGCATTTCCCCGATTAAGAACTCGCAATCTGATTGGCTGCCGCAACACTGCCACAGAAATCAAGTCATTGCGCATTTTTGGATCATGTGATTCAGTTAAATCGGGCGCGTCCAAATTGGTTATAGCAGGGGGAAGAAGGAGGTACGGATTCTGGACACCTGCTTAGGAGGATGCATACTATGTGGACTACATCTTCTACCTAGTAGTTGATAATCATGTTATGCATGGCTTAAAGTCTTCAGGAATTTCAGGGAATTTCAGGAAAAAATTGACCAAAATCTGACCCCATTAAGTTCAATACAAATCTGGATGTATTTCTAAGGGGGAGTAGGGGTCAAGCATGGGTTTCAAAATTAAAGTCATATTTGTTAAATTTTTTCCTATGAAAAATACTTTTTCCTCCACATTTGAAAGTATATGTTATGGGTCTACCTCTACATTACTCTAAAAGCACTTATTCAAATCTCATTTTTCCAAAATTTCTTGGAGGGAGGACCTGCCAGAACCCAACGTTTGCTTGGTCCACGTCGCAATTCAATTTTCAGGAAATTTGAAATTTGTTGCTTTAAGCCATGGTTATGACATTTCAACACATTTCACATGGGGGAGGGTCACCTGGGGAATCGGATGGCCACAAGATATCTGAGATGCTACAATGCTTGTAATAATGCCTAAAGATTATAATGTATATGCTTTTTAATATTTAGCTTGTGAAGCATTGTGCCAGCATGTTGCTTGCTTTAATAGAGCAGTGGATGCCACTCAGACCAGGTGAAGAATTGAGTGTGTCAACTAACAATCTAATCACTTTTCATAGTTATTACGTTGAGTGTGTGAACTAACAATCTAATCACTTTTACCTAATTTATTACGTTAAGTGTGTGAACTAACAATCTAATCACTTTTCATAGTTATTATGTTGAGTGTGTCAACTAACAATATAATCACTTTTACCTAATTTATTACGTTAAGTGTGTGAACTAACAATCTAATCACTTTTCATAGTTATTACGTTGAGTGTGTCAACTAACATTCTAATCACTTTTACATAGTTATTATTTTGAGTGTTTCATCTAACAATCTAATCATTTTTCATAGGTTTTTACATAGAGTGTCAACTAACATTCTTATCACTTTTTCATAATTTATTACGTTGAGAGTGTGAACTAACAAACCCATCACTTTTACATAGTTGTTACGTTGAGTGTGTCAACTAACAATCTAATCACTTTTTATAGTTATTACGTTGAGTGTCAACTAACAATCTAATCACTTTTATTTAGTTTATTATTGTTTACTAATCATCTAATCACTATTTAATGGTTTATAGTGTAGTTTAGATTTACTTGATCTCCCTTGATCTGATCACAGTTGATCTCCCTTGATCACAGTTGATCTCCCTTGATCACAGATGATCTCCCTTGATCACAGATAATCACTCTTGATCAGAGTTGACTGAATTAACTTGCATTATCTTCATCTCCTCTCATCTGTGAGTTCAACCAACCAATGTTTCAATTTTTCAGCATAGTTGGATAAATATATTTTTTTCCTTTGTGATCGAATTTGAATCTGTGATTGAATCTTCTCATATTTGAACATGGTTGAATTTACTCTTAATTCTCTTGCTTCATATTTACATACATGTATTGTAAATATGAATATTCTAACCTTATTTTTAGTATTGTAATGCATAGTATTTATTGAAATTAACAATTTTTGTGATGTTTATATTTCCGTTGAATGAATAATTTTGTACATATGAAAATAAACATCAAAAGTAAATGTTAACACATAAAATCAATCCTCTCTTAATATCTGTTCAAAGGAATTAACTTGGAAAAATAATTTATATATTGGATCCAACGACAAACAATTATGGAGCTGGATTCGACAAAGGGGTGTTACATGCTGAGACTGAAATTGGCTTTTTAAGATTGTACTTTGTGAGAAGCATATTTGTCTTCAGTTATTTCAGAAAATATTTTGTTCATATCTGTTATACCCACTTGTTCAAAGCTACAATGAGACAAAAGCTAACAAAATGTGCGGTGTATAATTTATTTTTGTATTTATTTTAGGATAAAACATTTGGTAAAAGGGAGCTCCATAGGGCTCATCTGAATCCAACTGCCGATGTTACAACAACAATGAAGGTAAAAAATGCAATGTCCAGTCTGTTCAGCTAATCATAAGGTTATTTTCTGGGCATGCTGCATAGATTATATGATTGTTATTTTTGTTTCTCTTAGAAAGCGCCAACTCATCCACTCTATCCATTCATTCCATTCATCCATTCCATCCATCTATTTCATCCAAACCATTCATCCATCCATTCAATCCATCAACACCATCAATCCATCCATCCATCCATACCTCAAATAATCCCTATTTATTATACCATAAACCATATCTGTATGTATTATATCATAAATCATATCCCTATGTATTATACCATAAATCATATCCCTATGTATTATACCAGAAATCATATATCCCTATGTATTATACCAGAAATCATATCCCTATGTATTATACCATAAATCATATCCCTATGTATTATACCATAAATCATATCCCTATGTATTATACCTTAAATCATATATCCATATGTATTATACCAGAAATCATATCCCTATGTATTATACCAGAAATCATATATCCCTATGTATTATACCAGAAATCATATATCCATATGTTTTATACCAGAAATCATATCCCTATGTATTATACCAGAAATCATATATCCCTATGTATTATACCAGAAATCATATATCCCTATGTATTATACCATAAATCATATCCCTATGTATTATACCAGAAATCATATATCCCTATGTATTATACCAGAAATCATATATCCATATGTATTATACCAGAAATCATATCCCTATGTATTATACCAGAAATCATATCCCTATGTATTTTATCATATCCCTAAGTATTATACCATAAATCATATCCCTATGTATTATACCATAAATCATATCCCTATGTATTATACCATAAATCATATCCCTATGTATTATACCATAAATCATATATCCCTATGTATTATACCAGAAATCATATCCCTATGTATTATACCAGAAATCATATATCCCTATGTATTATACCATAAATCATATCCCTATGTATTATACCAGAAATCATATATCCCTATGTATTATACCAGAAATCATATATCCATATGTATTATACCAGAAATCATATCCCTATGTATTATACCAGAAATCATATCCCTATGTATTTTATCATATCCCTAAGTATTATACCATAAATCATATCCCTATGTATTATACCATAAATCATATCCCTATGTATTATACCATAAATCATATCCCTGTGTATTATACCAGAAATCATATATCCATATGTATTATAACAGAAATCATATATCCATATGTATTATACCATAAATCATATCCTTATGTATTTTATCATATCCCTAAGTATTATACCATAAATCATATCCCTATGTATTATACCAGAAATCATATATCCCTATGTATTATACCAGAAATCATATATCCATATGTATTATACCAGAAATCATATCCCTATGTATTATACCAGAAATCATATCCCTATGTATTTTATCATATCCCTAAGTATTATACCATAAATCATATCCCTATGTATTATACCATAAATCATATCCCTATGTATTATACCATAAATCATATCCCTGTGTATTATACCAGAAATCATATCTCTATGTATTATACCAGAAATCATATCCCTATGTATTATACCATAAACCATATCCCTATGTATTTTATCATATCCCTAAGTATTATACCATAAATCATATCCCTATGTATTATACCATAAATCATATCCCTATGTATTATACCATAAATCATATCCCTATGTATTATACCATAAATCATATATCCCTATGTATTATACCAGAAATCATATCCCTATGTATTATACCAGAAATCATATATCCCTATGTATAATACCATAAATCATATCCCTATGTATTATACCAGAAATCATATATCCCTATGTATTATACCAGAAATCATATATCCATATGTATTATACCAGAAATCATATCCCTATGTATTATACCAGAAATCATATCCCTATGTATTTTATCATATCCCTAAGTATTATACCATAAATCATATCCCTATGTATTATACCATAAATCATATCCCTGTGTATTATACCAGAAATCATATCTCTATGTATTCTACCATAAACCATTTCCCTATGTATTTTATCATATCCCTATCATCTATAATGTCATATTTATATGCAGGTATATCAACAGTACACACTGGAGAGAGCCTATCTGGGGGAAACATTCTTTTGGGCGTACCAACCCACAAAAGGGGACACTCTCAACTTTAAGTTTCACGAACCTCAGTACATTGAAAGGTATATGATTTTTCAGATTTTTCCTTTCTTTACTCATTCTATTTCCAATAAAGTGGTTTTTGTATTACAAGAATTATATGATGCATAGAAGCTATTCAGGTTTTTCAGGAACAGTATATTACAGGAAAGAGCTTTTTAATATTTCACAGGGACTTTATTTTGCACTGATGCTGTATATCATATCTTTGCACTGAAAATGATTCACAGAGGTCAATATAAATGTATTTTATTTCACTTGAATGTTTATCCTTCCTAGGGGCTGTATACGATTCAAAAAAGCTGCATATGTTTCAGAGAGTGCAGGGGTTTCACTAGAATTTCTCACAACAGGCTAAAATAAATGAAAACAACATAATGGAAACCATGAATTTAACATGGAAAAGTTGAAAAGTCTCTACATGTATAACAACAGGCGATTTTGTGAAAACAACCAGTGAAAATATTTTGTTACCTGCTGCTAATGAAACCCCTGGAGTGTCATTGCACTTTTGTTCTCCCTGGAGTGTCAATGCACTTTTGTTCTCCCTGAGGTGTCAATGCACTTTTGTTCTCCCTGGAGTGTCAATGCACTTTTGTTCTCCCTGGAGTGTCAATGCACTTTTGTTCTCCCTGGAGTGTCAATGCACTTTTGTTCTCCCTGGAGTGTCAATGCACTTTTGTTCTCCCTGGAGTGTCAATGCACTTAAGTTCTCCCTGGAGTGTCAATGCACTTTTGTTCTCTCTGGAGTGTCAATGCACTTTTGTTTTCCTTTTCAGTCTCACATTCAAGAGTGGCAACATTGAACACCCTGGAGACAGGTTTTACAATACATCAGTGGAAATACTCCCTGTAAAACATTTAGAGAAACAAAAAGGGATATTAGACAATGAAAAGCATGAAGATCCATACCCAAAAACTCCAGATGGATATCTTGTTGTAGACCACTTTAGTCATACCACAGGGGGTGCTTTTGCAAAATTAAACAGCTCAATAGGAGCTGTATCAGCTGTTCAGTTAGTTGTGCTCACAGAGAGTGATGTCTGGGTGATTTTAAGTGAGGTGAGTGTAAAGTATTGTAATTAAGAAATATAGACCGAAGAGCAGGTATTATATCAACGAATGAATACCGCATGTCTAGGCACACATGTTTTCTGTACCCTGAACAACTGAAGGGAGTAAGGGGTTTGAAAGCTTTTGTGCCTAACCCTAAGGTATTTATTACTCGATATAATACCTTATCTGAGGTCTAAATTACGATTAAAACATGAAAACTCACCAACATTATTTGAATATTCATTATGGCTTACTATGGCCTGCCGTTATGACGTCACATACTACTCATACATGTATTACCAGGTGTTGTAACAAGGAATAAATACTGGGTGAAATATTGACTTTCTTCACAGTTTATAGAGGGCGTAAATACAGTCATGTTCGAATCAGCAATATATAAATGTATTAGAAATATATTTTGTCAATGTTTATATTTAGCCCATTATAGGGTATTCAACCAATAATTTAAAGTCATAAAATCAACCTTCATTATCAGAGTGTTCCTAAAATATACATTCCACAAAACTCTTGTATCAAAATATATTACATGTGTATTATAATAGTACTGTATTGAAAACAGTGTTCTACCAGTACAGTCTCGTTATTGTTGTTACCCATGCTCACAAGAAAAATTGACGATGGGCTGAAATGTCTATGTTTGTTAATGGAAAAATTTGAGGTTTTTCCAGGGACTATTTTTTCTGGCGGATGTTTACTATAACACCATTATCAATGAACTATGATTTATGCATTTTTGTTTCAGATTTACATAAAAACATACAAGCCGCAACCCACCAGGTGACAGGCCTCACCGTGACCACATATTTGTGTATAAGAGATGGAACAATTGTATAGAGAAACAGAATACTGTATATAGACAAAGATACTATTTGAATGTTATAAATACATGCAGTGTGTAACCCCTGGGAGGTTTGGCAGATCTCATATTTCCAGAACGCTTTTTCATATTTCCAATATTACATGTAAAATCATGAGTCAGTCACTCTTGTTTAAATGTTAGTTCTTGACTGCTTAACTCTAATTGTCGAAATCGTTGTTCCCTCTTCAAAAGAGGAGACGCGAAAATCTTTCCTTATAAGGTCAAAATATTTCCCATGATGCATTTAGCGGAGGAACAAATTTATATTTCCTTGTTTTCCCTCATAGGTTTAACATGGCGATTTTCACACCTATTTTTCAAACGATATATTCGTTCATATTCCCGTGCGAGAGTACAGAAAAAAATATTAGAAACGATTGATCTCTTATTAATCTTAATATAACAGCTAATTTTTTCATTGTATTGATTCATAGCGTGGTGAAAACGATGATTGAAAAGTGAGAAAACATTCCGGAAGAGAAGGTCACGTGATCAGTTGACTAGTCGCCATATTGGAAAAAACAATTCCATTCGACTTTCAATACTTTCATGCCAATCTTACCGCACTACAAACTGCAACATCGATGCAACAACTGAATAAAAGTATTCATCTTCAAATTACATTATAGAGTTACCTTGAAAACCCACAGACAACTGAGCAGTAGACCAAAGAAGACGCGTTGCTATTATCTAGGTCAATCTGTTCAGTGGTCCGAAAGCAAATCTATAGTACTCGTTTCCGAATTTTGTTGTTCATTGTACAATCTTTTATTGATTAAACTCGGTAAACTGACTATTCAAGCAATGACAAGGAAGAATACTTCCGATGGTGTCATTGTTTTATTTAGCGTGCGGGTGTAAAAACAAAATTGGGTAATTAGTTTGATTTAGAACTTTCGGGTCACGCAAATAGCTACGCGAAATGCATAGTGGGAAAATATTGACCAATCAAATTTTGTCCTTTTTGAGTGCTTTTTCAGTACATATTTGCGAACGTTCTGATTCAAAGAGCGAACCGCGAAAGGGAGAATTGAGTGATAGAATAGTGATGTCTGATTGGTTAAAATGATTTGTATACAATACTTTAATTTACTTCTGATTAAAATGATCTATGATTGGCTGAAATTCATTTTTTTGATTGATTTATTTCTAGAATATGTGAAATGATGTCTGATTGGTTGAAATAATTTGTACATTGAAGTTTAATTTACTTCTGATTGGTTGATCCATTTCTAGAATATGTGGAATGATGTCTGATTGACTGAAATAATTTGTATACTGAATTTTAATTTACTTCTGATTGGTTGATCCATTTCTAGAATATGTGAAATGATGTCTGATTGGCTGAAATAATTTGTATTTATACTAAACTTCAATGAACTTCTGATTGCTCGATGTAGTTGGAGAATATGTGTCCAATGGGCTGAAATATTTATTCGTATACTGAACTTTTATTTGCTTCTGATGGTTGGTGCATTTCTAGAACATGTGAAATGGTGTCTTGTTGACTGGAAATAATTTGTAATAGTAATAATAACTTTAATTTGCTTCTGATTGGTGAAATGATGTTCGATAATGTTAACTTCTGTAGTAATTAACATAAAATTAGATACACACAATACAGTAGGGAACATAAACAATTACTATAGCTATGAAAATTACATGCTGTCGCACTTGAATAAATTCTTACCTCAGTGTATTCAGTGCTCTATTTTCTCCATCCTAGTAAGTCCAAATATAGTGGAATTTGTGTCCATAATGACAAATAAGAACTTAAAAAGTTGAAGTGGATATTCACATGTTAATGGAGCTCGATTGACCCCCTACCCTCCATCTATATATTTTTATCAGTTGTACTGGTGTTTGATGGGATAGGGCAAAACTGTGGCTTGGTGAAAAACAATGCCAATACTCTAAAAATATGAACAAGTACACTCCTTGTCAACTGGAAATGTTTTCCATTAGAGAAGCTAACGAGGCTAAGGTTGTATACATTGTATTTTAAATGTAATTTTTGCAAGAAATGTATTGCTTTAGATAAATAGTTATGAGACAAGATTCTCGATAATATTTGCTGTATCAGTTATTGTGATATGCCTATTTGTAAATGTAAAGCAGTGAACAAGGTATAACAATATTGGAACAATAGTTACCATAGTTACATGTTAAGTTTGTGTCCTGTCATCTAAAAATGTGCTGTTAAAGTGGGCCAAGTAGAATGAATAGAAAACTGAAAAGATCTGAGTTAATTACCCAAAATTGTTTTATTATGCCTATTTCAAGGGGTGATCAATAAATGTTTGTAATGTTTAAACAAAAGTATGAGACGATTAAGTTGCTCAGATTTGAAGGAAAAACCTTCTAAAGTCTGTTTACACCCCCCTTAAATGATTGATGAGTGCCTGCCGGGTGCAAGGTGGGGCCCGGCCAGGTGAGCACCTCTTGCTGTAAACGCCCCATCCATTGTGATATACACAGTGGAACACCTGTGACAGAACACCTTCCCCAAGGTTGGTGCCTGACATTTGTTGGTATTTAAATTAACACCAATGCAGGCATCATCAATTGGTCAAAATAATAATTTACAAGAGGATTGCAGATTTGATACTGTGCATTCACTCATTGAAGAACTCACGATTATCGGCCAAGTGCAGGCTCGTTGCTGTGCACAATCTACCGACAACCACGGATAGGTATAAAAGGGTCAAAATAATGCATGCCTTATGCATATATGCTAGATAATTGTATGATGCTTCATCACTGCAATTAAATCATAGACATTGATCTCAAAGAACCATCTGTGTAAAAATGGGTCCAATACTTATTGATCACCCTCATTTATTCTTTAAACATTAATTTATTTCAAACTGATGAGCACTTAAGGAAACATTGATTAATATTCATTGCTTACTGTTCAATATAAATAGACACATTATACATGTAACAGATGTAAAACATTAATTTATGTTGAATTAATATTTGGTATTCATTTTTGAATATGTTTATATGATCAAACTATCCATTCATTGTATACTGTATTCAGTATGTAAGCTTTCGCAATGGGCTATCTGGTAGAAAAATTTGTTTTTATTGAAAGAGGTCTGCTTATGTCAAATAGATGGCTCTGCTTCAACGGTTTTTTATACATTTTGCCGAAATCAAAATGATAAGTGTGGCATGTCATAATGAAATCATCTCCACCATGTTAATTTTGGTAATATTGCATAACAAACCAGCAAGTGGCAAAAAACAAAATCCTTTTGAAGTGAGAACATCATATTTGATTGCTTTTGAAACATATGGTCTATTTTGGTCAGTCTAAATAGGTGACCATGTTTAGTCCAAATCAATACAAAGCAAGAAGTCTTCATTCATTGAAAATTCAGTATTTCTCAAATCAACCTTGTATTATTAGCCTTATTGTATTGTATTGTACTTGTATGTAATTAAGCCACTAATGAATAAAGTAATATTTTATAGAAATCTAAATGATATTCTGTTATGAATTAAATTTGCTTAATAAACAAGGCATTAACATGTAAAAGTCATCACCTGCCATTTGTTACAGATGCCGAACACTGACCGCTGGATGCTGTCACAAAAAAGTTGACGACCATAACAATATGTCACCACTTGCTGTAGTGACATAACAATCATAGTTAAGAAAATAACACAGACATTAAACTTTTATGTAATGTTTTAATATTTTATTTGTGCATAAGTTACAAAAAGTTTATAAGTCAAAACAACTATGACCTACAAGTACTTTAACAAAAAAGTTTCATAAATCTTTTAATCACGCAGTACTAACTTTGACCATAATTTGAATCTTTGACCTACCAGATGTTTGAAAATCAAGGATTGCATATTGCGAGTCTCATACTGCACCATTTTCTTCAAACTTATCCATTCAAAGCAAAATGAAATTGCCTTTCTGCCAGTGCTTGCTTTATTGTAAAGAGTCCCTTGTTTTAGTAGTGTTTTGGTCCCCAGCTGTTAAAAGCCCTTCTCACAGCTTTTTTGTTATGATGTTTTTGTTATGCTTTGAATGGAACAAGTTTGAAGAAAAACAGTGCAGTATGAGACTTGTAATCTTTGATTCTCAAACAGCTGGAAGGTCAAAAATTCAAATTAACAGTCGAATTTAGTATCGCGTGTTAAAGGGTGACGCATATCGTTTAGCAAATCGAACGCTCGTTTCTGGTGTTGCTCACCGTTTAGTATAAAAGGCCCGATCCCGGAATAATACTCAAGGGTTCACAGGTTCGAGGTTGTTGTGTCAACACCTCTAACTGTTATATAGCATAAGTATATTATAGATCGTCACACATTTATAAAAGGGTGATTTTTATTTTGACAAATCAATTCCACATTTATGGGTGAAGTTTCAGGATCTTCTATTTGTGTATAATAAGGAAAAATTGGCATCTAAATTTCCCCATAACGTAATAGCACACAGCTTGGCATATGAACTATCCTACAAATGAAACAAAGCAAGACAAACCGGTTTCTAATACAAGGATTTATATTGGCTGTTGTACATGTATTCTTTGAACGCAATCACTCATTGGATAACGTTTTCAAAATCATTATAAACGGATTACTTTATCTCAAAGACAATTTCAATAACCTGGATTTTACAGAACTCCCCTTATTTCTTAAAAATGGACTGATCCAGTTGATTCGCCTGGAGCCGCCATATTGTTTTTATACGGGATGCTAATCGGAACCCTTTAATGACGTGCACATATTTTTGACTATCTGTCATGGTGATTATGAAAAGAGAATTTAAAGGAAAAATAAAATGAAGTTCAATTCAAAACATCACAGACCTATTTGCAACTGGCTATTTGAGATTGTTAAATAAATAAAACAATGATAAATATGAAATGGGAAGATATTTTGGCAAGCATGTACCACAG